AGACCTAAGCTGCATACAACAGCATGAGCTCTGCAATCCAAACCAGTATATAAAGACAATCAGGAGAATTTACTTCAAAACCATGTAATTGCGCCGAACTACGGTAGTAGCTTTGAAGAGCACTCATTGTAGATACTGAAACCTGGCTAAATATCAAGTGATTCCCTCAAATCAGGTCTAAATTCTACAAATCTCTTTTCAACAGTATATGCCTGTGATATCAAGTCCAGGGGTAAAGCAGAACTGCTTAATTAAAAGCAAGACAAATTATGTAATATTTAGGTACATATGATATTCAAATTTGATACCAGCACCATTCTGGTAGCATCTCCCAATTAGCTCTCCACATCTAAGCCACAACAATTTTTTTTTTTTCCCCACGTAGTTATATTAGTTTATACCAGATCTAAACATACTTTTTCTTACATATTTTCTACCAGTCCTCCTCCAATCACTGGAAATTTATACAAAGAATCCCACCTTACTTGGTTAGACTTGGGAACAGAAGATGCCAGAGCAGGGAAGAAACCTAAAACCCATGGCCTAAGACAAAGCCTAACTTTTGCATGCTTTTCATGGCAGCTCTCTTTTTCTTTGGAATCCTCAGGTAACTTTAAAGAGACCACATGAAGCCTGCCAAATTTAAGGGAAATTGTACATCTGAAGTAAGACTAGTTTCAATGCAGAAAGAGATTAATTATTTTGAAGCCATGCACTATGAATATATTTCAGTACTGATCAAGGGATAAGGTTTCCACATCAGACAAGTGCAGCATAAACCTGCAATAAACCGCCAATTCTGCAGTAATGGCTTTCCATCCACTGGCCTTTGACCACTAGATGGCACCTGCATGCTAGACCGATCCTAACGTGAAGAAAATTGTTATGTCAAACTGGATTGGGTCTTTTTCACTAAGTAACCATTTTAAATTCTTGTATAGCATTAGTATAAACAAAGCAGACCAAGGAAAAGAATGTGTCTTAGTGTAGGTGGTAAAAGCAAGGCAAAAGCCTCTAAGGCTACCATGTCAGCTGTTTGTTGTTGTGCTTTTAGGTAAGCATTAAATAAGGTACTTGCTCTCCATTACTGCTTCAACAGAATGGTGCCTTAGGTCTTACAGCTCATCCTCTTAACCCAGCCTTCTGGAAACTAGATGCAACTAAGGTGAAGTTAAGATGTCTATTAAAATGTAATTCTCATAACACATTCCCTCTTCCAACATTTCACAGAAATGATACATGTTCTATCTTTGTGCAAGGTGCAAGAAGCCACTCAAGAATAGCAACCTGAAATAGAAACATGAAATATTCTGAGGTAGCTAGTGGAAAATTACTAATTTATACATGCCCAGAAATTCAACAAGATAATAAGGGACTTGTACGAGGAACTGTAGAAATGCTGCTAGGAAGTAGCTGTAGGAAACAATGTGAAATAGTTATAATTATTTATACCAGTTTTTCTCTGGATAAGCCTTTTCAAAAATTAACTGGATCCATCTACAGCATTCTCTTGCACCCTGATGGGTCAAACCTTTAAAGCAACATGAGCAGGCAGAACTATCTACCAAGGGGAAAAACAGTAACTTATTTTGTTCTCTGTGAATATAATTTACTATTTTTGAGTATCAGCTATCTGTAAGAGTAGAAAAACTGTAATGTCGCCTATTTGCTTTACTTCCTTCATTTAACAGTAACTCATGTTAAGTTAAAATACTGAAACTTAACATCTGGGCATGTGTATCCTATTTCAAGAGGATTTTTCAAGTGGTGCTTGTTTCTAGAGTTCTCTACCTGAAGATACAGAATAACTTCTGCTGACCTTTATTAGCAGGCGGATCTAGTTAGCACCTGCTCTCTGATATGGCTGCTTGTGAGACTGAGTCTGCAGTACGCTAAACAGGAACCTTGGGTTGCAGATCCTGTTAACTAAGGCAGCAGAACCCAGGAAAGGGGCTGTGCCAGGCCACGTGCAGTGTATATACTCTGTTCAAAGCTCCACCCGTTCAGACAATTTCAGGCAGCAGTAATGAGTTTTCCTTGCAAAAGATTACTATAGCCATATACTGGCAGGGGCTTGTGGCAAACTGACTTTGAATTATGTTTAAAATTCTCATTTCTTGGGACATACAGGTGCAGGGACTATAAACAGGACACTATGAAACAGAATGAAATTTTCTTATTACCAATTAACAGGTTGAGGTCTTGATTATCTAGTTTAACAAGGCACACTAAGATACAGAACAAGTAACCAGACAGCTTTGCTGGTTTCCCAGTTTCCCAACTTTAAGGATCTGCAAGGAAGATGTTCAGACACTACCAGCTCCAGAAATCCATGGAAGATGAGAACCAGGCAGACCCATATAACAAAAGTACCCAAACTTGTGTCTTATCTTGGTAACTTATCTACTGTCCCAACACCGACTTACTGTTACATGTTTTTTCAGTGTTCAGTCCAACATGGCCTGAAGTTCCTTCAGCTCTTATCATCTCATACATGCACTGAGAAGTGGGTTATAAGCCCATGAGTTGTATGCAGCCACCTGGATAGATGTTGTCATCAAAACTTTGAACAACCTTTGGAACAAAGCAAGCAAAATCAATGTACAATCCAGGAGGAAAAAAAAAAGTATACAGCTGCACTGAGAGTGAGCTTGAAAGCTGCTACTGCTAATTAGCAGAAGCAAACAGATGACAACAAAGAAGAAAAAATATCCTGGGCTATGCCTAAATATCCCAAGCCTGGTACTGGTTCACTGAGTTCCTTTTCATTCACAAAGATTACTACGTGCATGAGCTTCATTGCAACTCTGTTTTCTCTTCAAAAAAACACATTGCTCTTTAAAGCAAGTTATTAATCCATGTGGACTCAAGACAATGAGACATTTGACTGTGTTGTAGTCATCTCTGCTCCAGCATAAGGACACATTCTTTCATGTTTGCTTTTTCACCAGTTCATTTGAAGCCTAATGTTCACATTTATCTCCATGTACATTACAAAGCTGATTCATGATTGGCATCTGACTAATTACAATTCAAACAAGTTCAAAAGCAATACAATATTGACAGTATCACTTCACCTCTGTTCTTTGCTAAACTGTAATGCTACCTGTCAGGTTTGTATAATAAAGTGTCTTCATCTCCAACAAACCTGACAGCAAGGAAAGTTCCAGAAACACCAGTCATGGATACAACGTTGATCATTTGCCAGGAAGAAATTCAATACCCAGTTAAAGGCTAGTATTTTACAAGTATTATCTACATAAGCCTCTACAAACCACGCACCATTTCCTGTTAAATTTGAGCTTTACAAATATCACATGCTTGGCCTTTGGTGTTTTTGTCAGCTGGAATTTTCAGAAAATTCCAGCTATCTGAAACAGTTACTCTCAGGCCCCCTTCAGTTCAACCATATTTGATAGCAGCAGTGTCTTTTAGATTTCCATTACTATGGAGCAAAAAATGTTTGCCAACCCCAAACTAACCACATAGAGCTCCAGTAATTTAATCTGACACCTTCCTCAGTATGATGGCAATATTCTGTTGGATTTATCAAAAGATAAGCCACAGACAGAAATGCTGCTTCTTATAAAAAATACCTTGCTGCTGATCAACTCCTACTTCTATCATCTTTTGGCAGAAACACATCAGAGGAATCTCTATCTTCAAATAACCTTAAAACAGCAATGTGGGCTATTAACAATAAAAGCAACTTCATTCCACAGATCTGAAGAATTCCCATCGAAGTTTCTCAGGCAAGTACGTAGAGCAATGCACTGCTCTGGGATACTACAAGCAGTGTCGCACATACCCATTAGCTCCTCTCTTCACAGAGGATACAGTACAAACGCAAATTGTCTTCGTAACAGGATGGTGAAGCAGCAATACACTTGCAGTTAATCACACTAAGTTAGAAACAGAAAGACCAACTCTGACTTCAGTGGCCATAAGTACTTCTGTGGGTCCAGATGTAGCAAACTGAACACAGTCCACTAGTGTAAGACCCATTACAGTGTTTTCAGCGAGTCTATTTACAGCATTTTTTGGAAATATATTGGATCAGTACAAACAATTACCAAAACAGAAAGTGTTCAAGGTATCAGAGCAGCACAATAACCACTATATGAAACACTATTTTTTTCCATCCTTTAAAGCAGCAAACAATTATGAATATTCCATGCATAAAAAACACTGACCTCTATGAAGCATACAAAAAAAATTATGTAAAACAAGAATCTCATATCAATCAACACAAAAGAGACCAAAGAAGCATATTTTAAATTAGATTAAAGCAGGTATTCCTCTAGTATTTGGGAGTCTTAAAATGCTTGTCAACCAAAAAGGAACAAGAGGTTATGTGCCATGTTGTACTCTACTATAAAATCAGGAATGGATATTACTGTCAAATAAAACAGGGTCTGGGGAAGAACATGCAAAAATATTCCTCAAATGGTGTGATGTTTTATATGCCTCTTAACAGCTCATTTGAAAATCCTGCTACTTCCCAGCACACTAATACCATGCTATTTAGCAGCATTTTAGGCTTCTATGGACAAGATGTTTATGTGGAAAAAAAACTTATTAGCAATCAGAGCACTAGAGACTTCCATGGAGGAAAGAGTTAATTTTACCTGAGTATAATTAGATTCAGATTCATCTTTTCTACCTCTTCCAGAATGAATAGTAAAAATACAAAAGATCTATATTAACATTGTAAATGTAAGCTGAAGTAGTATGGTGAATTCTGTTATGTACCTGATGCTCCTGAGTTGCTTTTAGTGTGGAATATCAATCGTATCTGTAGGAGTTAAGTTACTAAATAATGTATTTCTTCCACAATACAGGATGATGAGGGATGTTAGCAGACGTCCCACCTTCCCAGAAGTCAAAACAGCACCCAAATCCTCTGCAAGTGATTGCTGCTATATAAAAATAGCAATTCTTCAGAATACCATCACCAGATCTGGTTTTCCAGTGCCACAAAATAAACTAAGAATTTCCTATTTCTTTAGGACATGTAAGAAGACCTGAAGACTTTTATTTTCCTTTTGACATAGCATCTGTAACACAAGCAAGCATGTCAGGTACTCACATAACATACAGCTTTACACCTGGACATTTCATGATACAGAAGACACTGTTCCAGAAACTAAGAAAAAAATGGAAAAGTGTTAATCCAGATGTTTGGTAACATGATGCTTCTTATAGAGGCTGGCACATGGTACAACCCAGCATTTTCAAAACTTGTAAAACTAAACCTCAAGCAATGACTTAGAGCAGGAAGTTACCCTGTCAAGGCTTACAGAAGAGATTTCATCAATCACTTTGTCACAAACTGAAGTTACTCTCACTTACACAGTTCTCATCACTGACTTTCAAGAACAAGTGCCTTTGAGCAATATCAGAAGAAATCTACTTCTACATTTTATGTACTGAAATTCTGGTGCTTGCTTCAAGGGGCAGTAAATTAAACCACTGTTCAAAACCACAGACCAATGCAATATAAATCAACAGCAGATATATATGCTGTAATTTTGGTGTGGGTTTTTTTTTAAAAAAACAAACTCCATACTACTTGAATAACAGTAAGGTATAATAAAATAACCAGTCAGACTTCATTCAAATGAATTAGACAACTTTTACTAAATGAAAAAAAAACTACATTTAAAATATGCATTTAAAACAAAATGGAATTAGAAAAGAGACTTAAATCCATTTTAAAGAACTTGCTCACTGTGTCAGAAATCAATATATCTCTTGCATTATATAATGTGCCAGTTCATAAAATGTAAGTTACCAGAATCCTCAATTTAACATTTTCAAAGACAATACTGAAGTCAAGAGTTTTACATCTACTGATGCACATTTAGAATGGTATAAATCTGAAGCCTTCCCCCACAGAATCTCACAATTTGACAATATTCAATAAAAGCTTTTGTAGTTATATCCAGTAAGTATTGCATTCTAAAGCATCACAAATCTGTGCCTTTCGTTTATCCTGCTATATATTTTGTATCTTCTCTGTATCTTGCCATTTGCCACTGTTAACTCTTAAGAAAGGAGAGAACTGAAAAGAAATACTGCATAACTCTTGATCATGTACAGAAATTATTGCTACTATAGTCCACTACAAAGCAGAAGTCTATACAATAGTATATGAAATTTGATCATGAAAATCCAAAGGATATAATCTTTAGTGACATAAGCCTTATAGTCACGTTGGACATTCCTACAGCATTTTCAGCTCACTACTTGTCAGCTAGCCTAGTGTCCGTTGATGAGCATTCATTTAAACACACTGTCTTATGGAAAAGAATGTCAGCTTTCAAAGGCTTAGCAAACAAGGATCTTCATGTTCTGTGGAACTATGCAAGATGAATTTTGATGCAGGTAGGGAGTTACCTGGAAGCTAAGCATGCCAAAGGTGTTTCATGCTAATAAAACTAAAGCCAAGGTACCACATAATCAAGTTACCAACTAATAGGCAATACCATTTTTGTCTTATCTAAGTTAAATGAAGTGCCATAGCACAGTGTAACGTCAATAATTTAAAACAGTGTAGTGCACAAATTCTTTGTGTGGCAGTTTAAGTTAAAATTCAAGACAGGTTTTTCTGTCTCAATTTATGTTGGCTAGCTGTCCAGTCTGGGCATTTTGGACTTTAGTTTGCCTTTTAATCACTACCATACTATAAACTTTGTATTATAATGGGGCACACGTTTGGGTGGCATTATTATGAACAATAGGAGGCTTGGGGGAGGATAAGAGATCAATGGCTGTTCTAAAAAAAGCCCCTTCCTTACTTCAATTTCAAAGAGAGTTGGGAAATAAGACTAGATACCATATTCGCATCATTCTAGCTACAAAATAACCAAAGTAAAAGCAATCAAGCAACAATAAGACCACATTACACAAATGGAACATCATGCTCTCATCTGGTTTAACTATTACATCAAGTTTTAACTGGGATGTTGGTCAACTTTAAAAACCGTGGTAAATGTGAATATGTAGTTGCAATAGTTTTTTCCTAATATTTTTTTTACTCTATGCTGGATATTAGAACTTGGAGCTATACTTGTTACAATACAGTGTCGCACATCTTTCTACTAGAAAAAATTAATAAAGATCCTTTACCCGTCTCTTTAAGTTAAACGTGTGACATCATAAAGGGTGTCAAATGGCTGGATGGTTTTACAGTGCACACTTATTATATACTGTAATATGGAGTTTTGTCCTTGACAGATCTGATGGTGTTTCTACATTATTCCTTTCTTCACCTCTTCTTCGGTGGATTAGCTGTGCGAGGTGGAGTGACTGGACGCCCAGAATTCAGTCCACCATACTGGTACTTGGCTTTCTTTTCAGATGGTTTCAATATCTTAGAGAAAATAAAGAAGTTCTTTTGAGTCAGTGACAACTATGAACATTTCAAGCACTGTTAAACCAACATGAAATCTCATTCAGCAGAAACAAGAGGGGTGTGTGTGTGTGCGAAAAAAAATTCACATCACAATTCTACAAATTTCTCAATCTTATATACAACAGTAATACTACTTCTAAATCCTTCTAGTTCTACCATTACACTGAGGTGGGAAGGGAAAAGGAAAGGGGCTGAAAATATGTCCAGGAAGGAGTACGGATTAAAATCTGATCAGAGTAACCACACTAAAAGGGTCCCAATAGTCCATCAGCCTGCATGATTAGGTACTCTGATCACTAGGTATAACTAAAAAGAATCATTCCATTAAACTTTGAAATGAGCATCTGAATAGAGGGAATAATTTAATATGCAGGAGTTTGGAAAACAGAAAATCCCACAGAGGGCTCTGGAGAACAGTTGGTTTGCAGTTCTAATTGTCCATAAATACCAGCATGCTGTGCAGTCCTTTCTGTAGCTTGAGTATACTACCCTAGACAAACCATAAGCACATCAACAAGCCGACTAACTCAGCCCATACAGCCCAACACCTAAAGTAATACTTAAGGTACAAATACATCATACCTGAAAGGAACACATCAGAGTTTCATCCACACTCATCATGCCCCCTGCATTGTCAAACTCTCCACAATAATTTGGAGCTGAGAATAGGGTGACCAACTGCCGTTTAGCAAAGAATTCATATCCATCTTCAACCACCTGTCAACACCAGAGAAATCAATACAGCTCACATAAAAAAAGAAAAGATACATTCTGAAGAAAAAAGCCAGTCTTGAGGCAGAGGACTTACACTAAAGAGGTAAGAACTCATCAAAAATATTTTATGTCCTGGCTTTCAGACAGGACAGGTTCAGTCATTTTGTCTCATCTAGACACTGAATGCCAAATCAGGTAGCTTAATCTGTCTGATATTTCCAATGCTAAATATGCATCAACTTGACTGCTCAGTATTTTCATATTTGAAGTTCAATTATGCACTGCCAGTTATGGATTTCCAAATTCTTTGTATAAACCATACAATGTTGGATGTTTGACCTGTTAGTTCAGAGCGCACAAGGTCTGGATACCATCTTTGTCGTAACTGTAACCATTAAGTTTCACTCACACTGGTGTTGATGGTCATAACCTCAAGTATAGGCTTTTAAAATTATTTTGTTGCTCTAAAAGCAAAGTGGATCTGCCATATTTTCTCTAAGAACATCATTCACCTTTAAAATAGTGCAAGCAGTACAATGCATCAGCTAAAGACGTTCCGTCTTCCTCAAAACAGAAGCCTCATATTATAGCGTGGTGAAAAACTAGTGCACCAACTGCTCACTTTAGTTCAATCACCATGGTCTTTTAAAAGATATCATACTACTTTTATAAAGAACTGAAGTGACTACATGAATACAGGAAATTGGTAGCAATCTTGATTAGCAGTTAATAAATCTTAATATCCATGCCACACACTCACTAATGTTTAACTTCTCTTATGTTTTAGCAGTACAATTGCAAGGAGAAATAGTTAAGTGTTCTGACAGTACACCGAAGCCTAACAGTGACAGAGAATAAAAGGCTTATTTTTGTTTCACAGCAGGAGAGAGCTTTTAAAATTGACTAAATAATGAAACTGAAATGTTATACAGGAAATTGAAACCTGATGCCCACCTAAGTAGGACACTTGCTTAAAGTAACTAGTAAAAACTGCAAAAAATTATAATTAAAGAGTGACGATGCCAAAAATAACCTTGCTTTCTGCACACTTCAGTAAGTCAATCTCTGCCAAAGTACTCTAGATAGCTGAACCAAAATGAAAGCAACAGCGAAAGCTTTTATGTACATCTGTTTATAGAAACATTCAAAATGCATTTAACTTCCATGAAACGAAGCAGAGAGTTTAAGCCACAAATACTCAAGAACTGACTACTACCGAAATGGAGGAACTTCGAAACTTCAGTCTAAATCTCAAATTCAAGTTACTTTGCCACTTTAAACCTGAACATTTTACCTCTGACATTCATATACAACAGTCTAATAGTAAACAGACAATATAAAAGAAAGATCAATGGGGAAATCTAGTGTTGGTATTTTACTTCACTGACATTAAGACACTCAGTTCAATATGAGTCAATAGGACACAGCCTTATAGTCCCTTTATTAGGAATATTTTTTTCCCCCCTAAAAGTAACACAATGCAAAGTAAGTTTCAAATATATTCTGCTGATAAGCAGCATCAGAGGCAGAAAGTCTAGGAAAGGTTTTAAGAAGCAACAACAGCATAGTTCGTACCTGGTGAGCTCGACAGATCAAATCCAGATCATGACGATTCAGAAATTTACTGACCACATCAGCACCAAAAGTGAAAGACACCCCACGATCATTTTCACCCCAACCTTGCACATCTTTGTCTGGGTCAGACCATAGCAGGTCACACAGCAAACCTTTGAAAAATAAATACAAGTGAAGATGCTAGTCTTAGGAACTATCATTCTACAATGTAAAATACATTTATTGTAATTACCAAAGCAGCTCTCCTAAAGAAAATAAGCCTTAGCACAAAATTAGCAACACAAACTGCAACTCAGACAAAAGACATGTTCTGCGTAAGTCTGGATATTTTTTTTTCCCCTCACCACAGATAGTACCTTGAGATGAAACAAGCCAGAGCCAAATAGTTCTCTGAAATAGCATTTAATTGTAATATTCAGCACGTTTCCAGTGAGCATCTGAGGAGTTTAAAAATACTGCAGTGGGTGCATTTTAAAAGGCAACCATCAGTTTAACAGCTCACCAAGGAAGCTTAGTTTGAAAGCTGCAACAAATTTTAAAGTCCTATGCAAGGCCAGTCATAAATACAGCAAATAAACTTGTACCACGAGCTTCTGAACATGAAGAGCTTTGATTATTACCTTTCTTACCATATGTGAAGAACCTATACGACCAAATCAAAATCTAACATTGCAAAATTCTGATATATTGTTTCAGGTAACATCTCCAGCTTGCTTGGACTACTGCTGACTTTTCAAAAAGCCTCATGCCAATCAGCCTGGAAGCTAAATTAGAAAAATAAACCTCTCTGGCATTTTAGCATCAGTCAATATCTATTTTCTGCTGCTACCAAAAGGTCAGCTAACTCTTAAGTTAAAACTGGGTACCAAAGAAAATTTCTCTAGATCAACTGCAATGTCTTTATGCATAGAACTTTCGAAGCATTTTCACATGAGAAAGAATCAGGCCACTTCAACTACTAAAGCAAAACAAAAAGCACTGAAAACGTATGTCAATTTTCCATGAAACTGTACTTTCTTTACCTGTGATGACTAACCTTTGGGCACTTAAATACTTAAGAGCATTGTTTCACAATCCGAAATAGAAGTCAGCAGGCTCCTTTATCTGGCACTCAGAAGTTCAATTTACAATTATGTCTGATTATTTACTAAACAAAATACTGAAGACACTATTTCTTAAATAGCAGATCCTTTGAGTTGTAATCAAAACTAATGTCTGAAACCTACTGTGCAACTAGACCATTATATATTTACATACAGCTATCAAATAGTCTTTGGTGCCAGTCACAGTTCCTCTCTAACAGAGGCTAAGATTTCATTTGCTTTTAGAAGACAAAGAACAGAGCACGTACAATGGCATTTTAGATAAAATATCTAACTAGAAATAAACCACTGAATACAGACAGCATATGACAAAGACTTACTTTACTGATATTTAGTTCTATACTCAATAACATGTTTTTCAAAACAGAATAGTTGCACTTCAATCCCTAGTGGTTTCTTATAATGAATTTCCAGCAAGTGACAGAAGCTGCTTGTCTCAGCTGCTTATAAAGTGCTTCCTCTTCTATTCTCTCCCCCAAATCAAATATCTTTAGGGTTATATAAAGTAATAGGCAAATCTGTCCTATAATCTTTAGTAGTGGTGTAACAGAATCCTGCAACAAGTTTGTCTAAACTAAACTAAGCTGCACAAATAGATTTATATTTTAGCATGTAATGTCCACCACTGCAATAGCTTATGTTGACCATAACACAGCTGATACGATACATTCAAGATTACACAAAAGAGGAAGTTACAGTTTCTCAATAAGCAAACGGTTGGTAATGCTGACCAAAACATATCACTTATACCTTGGCCTCACAAAATGCAAATACTTTAACAGTTACAAAAGGCAAGTGACTTAAGTTGGAATACAGAGTCAGATTTGAGTGAACAGCTTCCAAACCCCATAAAAATGCCACCAAAATAAGAGGTCTTTAAATTGAAGTTGAGGTTGAAAAGGCTTTTTTTCATCAGGCTAGAAGGAACCATCACAGTGATCTAAACATCTCAGCATAAGCCACACAAACACCTACCAAGAATTTCTGTATCAACACAAACATTCACTTGTAACTTACACAGAATTGAGACCACTTCAGTTTATTTTTCAGTTTTCCACAAGATTTACTTCCATTATGCAATAATTAAGTAGGTCCAAAAGGCCAAGACCTTCTATGTCACCGTACTGTATGAACTCACACTTCTGATGCAGGACATTTTGTTCTACCACTGCTAGTAAACATCTGGCTATTGCTTTTGAAAGCAGAATTAAGACTACAAACCACTCCATAGATCAAAAGCCTTTTTTTTTTTTTAAATCTCTATACTTATTTTTAGGAGGTACTAAGAATACATACGATTTCAGTGGAGTGTCCATGGAAACCAGAACTAGATTCTGCAAGGGCATTCCTGAAGTGGGGGTGGCTCAAGCAGTAGTATTAGCCTGTTGAATAGAACTACCTTTTCTGAGAGCTCTGATAAATGTAAAGATTGACTCGTTTGTACTGACATTTATTTGGTTATGCATTGAGTGAATAAGCAGCATAAAAGGAAGAACAATGACAGTAATTTATACTACAGAAACACTCATTCACCAGTCTAGTAATGCTTTTTGATGTCAAGTGTGTATATACCATCTCGCAAAGAAATGCTGTTTAAGGGAGAATAGATTAATATTAGCCCCTGAATTATTCGTACGCAATCAGCAGTCAGGAACATTGCAGGAAGTAGAATTCTTCTACTCAAAAGTTAATCTGTAATTGTAATTTATGTTTCAAAAAAAGGTTTAGATGTGATATCTCTCTGAAAGTTAATTTCAGACCACTGTTGAAATCAATACTTTAAAAAAAAATCCCATTGTACTGCTTGACAGTCTTTCCAATCCACTAATAGCAAAGCTTGTAATAAATGAGACACTGAGAAAGTTGATTAATTAAACCACTCAGAATACTGCACAGAAAGCACTGGGCATTTGTATCCAACATCTATATACAAAGTATTCATGTATTAGTAGGAGAAAATTTCAGGACTAGAACATTGAAACAAGCAATCGAAATCCCAATTGCAGTAAAGTAAAAGCTATACTTTACAAATTTAAAGAGGAAGGAGATAGGGCCCCAAGTAAAGAGAAGCCCAAATACTTCAAATAATGCTCAGCAAGATTTAAACAGTTATGTTCTTTGATAGACTAAAAGGTTTGGGTGTGCCTAACCAAGGCAAGAAAAAGAACTAGATGTTTAGTTTCATTTGATCTTTCATTAGATTAACCCAAACTTGTGGATAATGTATCTGACCTTGGATAATGTATCCTACTCTTACGACAAACAACAACATGATAATAACCTCTAACTTATCGGAAAACTTAGCTATCATGAGCAGCAAGACTCATGCCCTACACCGATGTTAAAGAACACTGTATTGTGAACAGAGGTTGTGTTAAGTCACTGCATTGCCTGTGCAGAAATGAAACAAACTTGTTTCACCATTAAGACCTACTTACAGTAAATTCCATGTCACTCACCTGTGTCAGGAACATCTGTAGGTCTCATAATTCTCCGGATCTGCTCCATTGACTGGAGATCTGGAGACAGTCCTGTAAGTAGAAGAAAACAAGTGACTTATCTACATATTTTACCTGTAAAAAGGGTTCCAGAGAACACACAATTAGAGGTTCAAAGTCATACAACATCCATTGTTGCCACTGTAATATAAACAAAATACAGTTTGCTATAAGACAATTAAGTTCCTGAACAGAGGGACAGAGAATAATGCAAGTGAAATTAGCAAAGGGTTTTAATTGTTTTCCTACTATCGTTTTAGCTACACAGCACAGAACTCTACAGTTAAGTATGTTCTCTTGAACAGCTTACTAGAGAGAACCAGTGAGGCACAGCACTCCCACTATCAAACACAATTAAACTAGGTGCAGGTGACCTTCTTTACAACCACCTTACTTAAAAGCTAAAGGAAAACCCCCTACGCAGCTTTAAAAGACCACAAGCCAAAGCAGCCTGCAGATGTGACTAGAATCGTAAGTCACAACGCTGTGTTTCAGTGTTTTACCACAGATCAGCTGAGCAACAGTCACTGGATGCTGTAAACGAATACTAGACTGTGTAACTGGAATACGTAAGGAACACAGATGTGGCCATCTACTATAGCTCAGCTGCTTAGTCACTTATAAAACCATAGTACCTTGATGACTCAAAAAAATGGTTTATCACAAAGACATAGCTCTCTTTGTACAGTTTTGCCATATTAACATGTAATTACATGGAATTCCAAAGCCACTCTTTGAACAGTTAAAGTACACATTCTAGAGCTTTCTACTTGAGGCATACAGGCATGAAAAAGAGCTGCCAGATGCTCTAGCATCTCAATGACTCTTTAAATAAGGGTCCTAAAGTGACTTAAATGACTTAGGCCAAGATGACCTAATTAAGAAAGTTGCAAATTCGCAAATAGAGCATGAAGACCTAATCAGTGATAAAACATATTTCATATTAACAAGTCATTTCCATCTGACTCAGTCCAGAACTTTGAACATGATAGAAGAAAACCTGCCATTGGAAAGGAGTCACCACGTAAAATAATTTCAGCTGACAGAGTTTGCACAGTGGCAACGTACATGTTGCAGGAACAAGGACTCCAATGCATTTGATATAAAGACACGAGGAACTTCATGATTAAGATTTTAAATTATTTTCGTTGAAGCAGTCTTATGATAAAAGCCTTCAACCCTCGTCAGCTTGTTAAAGCTTTCTTCACAATACTACCTTGAGATTGTGAAGGATGGCAGAAATCTCAGATTGAATAGCGTATCAAAGGAGTTTTAGTCAAGTCTACTTACATGACAATACAGGGATACTAGCATAAATTCAAGTAGATAATCAACTTTTAAGCTTTAACCAACTTCCCCTTCCCCCCATCTGATCTATTTGTATAAGCAAAGAGGCATGTGGATTCTACTCTGTGCTCAGCACCACATCCCAGAGGTAGTAACAGACAATCTCAGTGAAGTAAGCACAATCAGTTTGTGTCGTTCTGTGAGGTTACAGCTCTCAGCATTTCAGGTTGCACCCAAAACATTAAGTTATTTAAAAGGAAATATGTTATTACAAACCATGTCTTAACCTTGTAGCTGTTAATTTTTGGGATATTTTATACCACTGTAAAATTACAAAACCCCATAAAACTGCCTACATATTTGTAGGCCTCTTTGTAACCATCCAAGAGGTGGTCTTTTCTCAAGTATCTTCCTAACTCCCCCTGCACAAAAAAACAGCTAATATCTCAAATTCAGATCTACAGGCAAAAGTTGTACATGATCAGCATTAAATAAAGTAAATAAGAATGCAAACACAGGCTAAAGTTCACTGTCAAGCTGCTGCCACTAGTGACTGCTGCAACCTACTGTGTACTGAAAGAAAACTGAAAAGTACCGAATTGAATTGTCTTGTCACATAATGACAGCTAAGCACAGAAAATGTATCTTTCAGTATACTATCTTCTTGAAGCATAAGAGCACCCCTTCCCTAAGGGAAACCGGAAATTTAATTGTCATTACTCCTGACAGACTCATCAAATCAACGCTCTAGATTTAAACCATTCTCCTGATAAGGTAGAATTTGTAAAGAGAAATGGTTATTTATTTTTATAGCATAATCCAGAAAGCTCCTCAGGTCTCTTTAGATGCTACGTAAGATTATCAAGTAGACTTCACCTTCAATGTACATAGTCACCATTAATGTCACAAGAAAAACAGAACTCCAGAGCTTGAAAATACTGTATAAATCCAGTATTCTACTAAACTAACATGACTCCCATCTCAGAGCTTAAATCCAATGTGATAAAACCATTGTGTTCCATCAACGTGACACTGCAACATGGACTTAAAACTAGAAAGTAATCACATAAGGTCTCTAAAAGTTTGAACTAGGGAGTGGCATTGCAGATAAGAATACAAAGCAGAGCAAAGGGAGAAGTAGGGAATGGTTATGGAATAAGCTTTAATATAGCAAGACAGTGCAAAGTCAGAAGTCAAGAGAACAGCCTTAAGAAAAGGCCAAAATATGACTTGGATGAACAATGTGGATAGAGAAGAAAGAGGGAGGTCTTGGGAAGAATACAGTGAAGGATCATTTCAGCAGTATGAACAACTGAAGACAGGGATGGCAAGAGAGGTTTGATCCATATTGTGAGACAGACAACTCAAAACAGCAGATGCCCAGAAAAGTCTAGGTAAAAAAGCTGACTCACATTTTAAGCTACTGTAGAGAGCCTACTGGGGTAAGTTAGGTGCCTTTTGTTTTACTATGTTATGCGGTTTTGCAAAGTTTTATTATATATCCCAGAGGACAATATTTTTAAAATAAACTATGCAAAAATGCGCAATATAGTAAAAAAGGCACCTACCTTATATCTACATGCTAGCTTCAACCTCCAGCAGCGTTGAATGGTTAATGTTGCTGCCTCGGTGTTTATTAATAGTAGTAACATCATGAAAAGGCGTTGATACTCCATGACTTCATGGGATCTGGAATGCAGTTTGGATAGGATTGGAGAAGAGCAGAAAAAGGGCAAAATTTATTTATGTGCTGAATGTCCACTTTCATTTATTAGGAGCATACAGCATATTTAGTAATCTTTTCACTTTATTTCACAGCTGCAGATCAGTTGTGAGTGACAGTAATTTGAGTCACAGATGAAGCCTGTACAAGTTTAAAGGGACAATTAGCATTCAATGAAGTAGTAAATATTGCTTTTCATAAGAGGATCCCTATAGCATACTAAGCACAAAATAAAAGTTTTCCTACTGACTAATCCCTCCAATACATTTATAGTAAACTTTTTTTTTTTCCCCCCAAGAAAAACAGCTTTCTGGGCTTCTTGCTCATAACTCAGGTCTCAAGTGTATATACACACAAAACTATCAGTTTTGTCATAGAACATAGGATTCTACCCTACCCGCTAAGCTTCCTTGACTACCTTCTACCACCCACCTAAGCTTAACTGTTTACCTGGAACACCACAGTATTTCATCACCATTTATTCTCTACTGTTTCTCAAATAAAAAAAAAAAATTCAAAAAGGTATGATAGTAAAAGAATAATGCCTTCACCAACTTCTTTTGGAAAAAAAATTATTACATGGTTTAGGCACTGTTAATTGTCTACCTCAGTGCAGAAGTCATTTTGTATCTCACATTCTTAAAATTACAAGATCTAGCTCTTAAGACAGGTACTAGTTATTAAAAAGAAAAAAAGGCAACACACCACACTGACTCAGGAGATGAAAAGACGACCTGTGAGAAAACAAGTACTTTAACATGTCAGTGCCATCTGGAGAGTGGCAGACTCATATATCTATCACTGCATTAATTCTGTATTTAGAGACATGACAATACCTCAGAGCATATTATGCATAAGGCTCCCATAGCTTATACTAGCAGGCATTGATGGCAGAAACTTTCAATACAAGATGCAAGAAGAGCCAGGAACATTTTTTACAGCACAGTTCATATAGACAGAGCTATTGCAGAGCTACCTGTAATTATTAAAGTCAGGATGGCAGCCCTCAATACAACCTCACAAAGTCCAGAAGAGTCTGCTCTGAAATTTTGGGGGCATGCTATTTCTAATTCCAAATGGAGTTGTTCAGTCAAACTAGAGGTTTCTGCAGTGCTCTTGCTTCCACTAATCTCTAATTATGTCACTGACAATGCAGGTGTGACACCTACCAGACCATCTCTGGATCACACAGTGCAAGGCATCAAGTTGCTTATTAACAGAGGTAGTTGCAAAAAGGCAGGATGACTCTTACAAGTAATTTGAAATTTTTGTCAACTGTTTGACTCTGCAAGGTCCTGAAAACCTGTAAAGCACCATTGCTTGTAAAAACATTGGGAATCCCCTCGTACAAAGAAGAGTACCCAAGTAAATTCCAATATTCAGACACGTCACAAGCCTTGGTCAGACCAACACCAAGCACTTTTTTCACTACAAGAACAGGGCAGCACTGGGACAGGTGCCCATAGAATGTAGATTTTTTTCCAATAGCAAAGGTTTTATGGAGTCAGAGCAAGCTATGGCTGACCTGCTCTAATGTTAACAAATGTCTTTCTTCAAGCAGCAGGCTCGTCTACGGGACTTCAGAGATCCCTTCCACCAAGATCTTATGAAACCAGCTAGAGAGGCCAAGACAGTAGAGCTGGGGTTATTTGTGAAAGTTATTCTTTCAATTCACTGCTGGGAATGCCCATGTTAGCTAAGGCTGCACTGATAGATGGTAACAGCAAGTCACGTGGCAAATCAGGCAAGAATTCCAGCACTCAGTATCTTTCAGAGGGCCATACTGATAGGAATACTTATACGCACACTTGACCCTCAGACAGAGGGCCATATGTATCAGGTAGGGATGACATCTGCCTGCTGCCAGGTGCACAGAAAAGCACAAGGCATAGCAGCAACCTTAAACATCTCCAGCTAAGTATCAGGTATCCACATCCACTTTCCATTTGATATAGATTTAACCAAAAGATCAGTTTAGACAACCTTTAAAAGCAGTCATCAGCTTACCTCCATGACAACAGAAGATCTTCTCATCCACAATGGCTGCAATAGGCAGACAGTTAAAACAGTCTGTGAAGGTCTTCCACAGCTTAATGTTAAATCTTCGCTTGCCTACAAGAACAGTGTGTGACATTAGGAAGAGAAGGCTGTTTTCTTAAAGCCAACCTGCAATACATATCACAACCTGACCAAAAATGTTAGCAAACCATCTTCACAGGGATTTATTTCCATTACTGTACCTAGTTTTCAATCTCCTGCAACAGCATTTCAGAAGAGCAAATAATAATTCTCTAGAGTGACTTTAACCTTGGTTTGAAACGTACTTTTAGAAAGTTTCAAAGCAGGTTCACAGAATACTGAAATTCTTGTAGTACAAGACTCATTACTAGAAGTGTCTCCAAAACACAATCTGTTACAGTCTTCCAGAAGAAATAGGTTTTGCTTACATTCATCATAGAATCCATAGATCCGATTGATGCTAGCACACTCATGATTTCCTCTTAAGAGAAAGAAGTTTTCCGGGTACTTGATTTTATATGCCAGTAATAGGCAAATTGTTTCCAGAGACTGTTTGCCTCTGTCCACATAATCTCCAAGGAAAAGATAATTAGCTTCCGGTGGGAATCCTCCATATTCAAATAATCGAAGCAAGTCTGTATACTGACCATGAATATCACCTGAATAAGAAAATGTTTACTGATGATTAATACAACAACATAAAGAGAACACAAATCAAGAACTTAAGTCAACTAATCACTTTTTATTAATTGATCTTTAAAAAAGCATTAATATTTCCTTTAAAACCAGACTGGCAATTGTTATCAGAAAGGTGAGAACCATGTTAATATTACAAATTAAAGTACTCGCTAAATGTAAATAACCCACAGTATTTGCAGAACTGTTATGTCAGTTATGAAGCCAACCTGAAAAGCAAAAGCTACAGAAGTCATCTCAATTTAGCATAAGCTTTCTAACCAAGCTCTGATTTGTTTGAATTAAAACAAGGTCAGAAAGACAACCTCTAACTGAACAGTTACATGGCCAGAAAGTCAACATATTAAGAAAAAGTTAAGTCACATTTTTTAGTGCAAAAACAGATCAGTAAAGAATCTAGACAGACCAGAGAAATTGAACATTGTACTGGCAAAGAGCACTTATGTCAAAGGTCAACTGCTTGTCCTCCCATAACATTCCTGTACTAAGATTCCCATCCCCCAGCATTTAGGGTAACACTTCCTTTGATGCAACTGTTCATACAAAATCAGTACAGAGACTCAAAGGCTGATATGCCTTACAAGATATTCAACCCTGCAGGTATATCTTAGGAAAAATATCTGTCACCTTACTCATCACACTGCCAGCTTTAAAATTAAGCAGGCTTTCAACAGAACAGTTCTGTGTGGCAATTACAACATCACAGTATATCATAACCGACTAGCCAAATCTAACTGTCTGTGAGCTGCCCATAAGGTCAAAGACAGCAAAGCTGCCCTATACTAACTCGTAAAATACATGCGATGTATTCCAGCTGACTGCAAAATTCATTACCAAAGTGACTGAATGCAAAAAAGCTATGCAAGAAATCTTCAGTACAAGCTGTATGCTGTTTAAATTTAGTACCTCCTGGTCCCTTACACTAAGTGCTCCATAAATGCATTTTCACTTTTGCTGCTTGTTCAGTGGCAAAAGCCCAACTTTAGGCACAGCTATTCTCCAGCAGAGCGCTAGATACTATAGCCTTAAAAAAGCAAAAACCCCACCTACGCATCTCTACAACTTTTTCCATAAACTTAAAGAAAAAAGGTTCCCAAACCTGTATGCTCTCCAGTTCAATTCTTAAAGCATACAATGGGAAGAGTATATAGCTGTATTCCCCTTTACTCTTTCAGTCAGAAATGCAACACTTCCTCCTCTAGACAGCATTCTTCTGTAACTATTTCTCTCCCAGGGAGAAGAATCACTTCCCAATTTTCTTCTAATAATGGGAAACATTATCTACTACCCAATTCCAGACACCATCTGAAGTTTCACTGGCTAAAATAATTTTCATGTGTGTTACCACGATTCCTATTCTACTTGATACTTAGAAATCTCCAAGTCACAACCAGTAGAAAACAGAAGACTCGTCAACAAGTCACTGCTGTGCTCAATGTAGTGCTCCAGAACTACACTACCAATACACTCCCCAGACTTTGCCACCACCAGAATTAACTACCAATTAAACATATTACAGAAAGATTATAATAATTTTGTCTATTGTCTAGAACTGTTTTCTGTTACACACGAGCCAGAGGACCAAAGCACTTAGAGGGCAAAGCAACATTTTATAGAAACAATTCTGTAAAGGGACCAAAGCATTTATTATTCCATTCAAGGCACCTGGCATCTTAAAATACAGCTTCATATGGGCACAAGTTGAAGTCTACCAGATACAAAGCCTCACAGTAAAAACCAAACCTATTTTTAAATGGACATTTACATAAGAATATATTTCATCTTACATTAAAACACAGCCACTCAAGATGTAAAGTCTTATTTTGAACTGAGTTGATTACAAGACAAGACAATCCTATAATGGTTCCTCAGGCATTGCCTGAACGCACTAAAATAGTAGTTCAAAGCAGTACAGCTGCATATTTTGCTTTTGGTGAAAGTGATCGCCTTCCTTTCACTTTTATCTAAATGCATCTTTGACAATTGCTCTAACATTAAATTTAGATACACCTGGCACTTCCTTGTGCAATCACTGTGTTTGGAATCCAGTTTAAAAACAGCAAATGCCCTATTTAACCATGCATTTGCTGCCCTATTACTGGGCACCTAACAATCCTTTCAACTGTCTCAATCTAAGCAAATGAGAAACTAACTTTGAAGGAGGCTAATTATACTTTGCAGACCTTGTCTTATATGCAATTTAAGTATTTAATTAGAGTTTTCCTTTTTTTATTTAGCTAGGAATACAATGAGATTACTGTAGTCTTTTCAGTGTAAGAAACACCACATGGTAAAGCTGGATTTTTACCTTCAACTTTATGTCACTAGGCAAGCTGGTCTGTTTTTCTCTCCTCACCCTACCAAGCAATTAGTTATTTAAAAATGACTTTACCATTAGTAGGTGTTTGTGTTTTTGTTGTTGTTTTTTTTTTTTTTTTTTAATTGGTAATATCCTCTCTTAACATAAGAAACATTCCTACATTGTGTCTTCCAGCTAATCTATCTTTGAGCATGACAGTAATAATAAATTCAAAGACTTCTTCAATTTTAATGCCATGACACTTTAAGAAGCCCAATTCAAGAAATTTTATGCTTTCTAACACCGTGCCTGCTGTTAATAACTTGTAGGATGATTACAAGCCAGTATGTACAACAGTTTTGTAACAGTTCTTCACAAGCTTGCATACCTATTAATAACAGTGTACTTTTGAAGAAGTCTAGCATCTTATAAAGGCTTAGAGAGGTAAAGAACACGCACATTTTAGCTTTATCCATATTTGACAGTAATAACAATGTTCGTTAAAACTTGCTGTAAAGCTCAAGGAATTTATTACATGGTAACTAAGCCTAATTTAACAGGCTACATCCACTTTTAGTTTTTCAATTGAAAGACAAAATGCTTTCTTCAACACTATTTTTGAAGCGTTCCATTTCACAACATGTAAAGATCTTTGTTTTGCTTATGCTTTGAAGAGAGAAACTACAACATCAAACATCTGCCTTTTTTTTAAAGCCGTTAGCTGCTTTCTGAAATAGTGATCAAACAAGTAGCAGCTCTGTGCAGCAGTCCCTAGGGAAGTACAAGGGACAGGTTGCAAAATTTGCACTAGACAATGATACAAGCAGATCTTCCTGACGACAGATCTTGCTCCTAAATAGTACCAGAAGCATCAGCAATCTACCAACTGTTAACTGCCTTTTGACTTAATCCAATCTACGTTGAAAGTTACATTTAAGCTTGTGAGGACCTCACTCTAAGCTGTATCACCCAAGTCAAGGTCACTTGCCTATCCCAGTATCCTTCCAATCCACCTAGCATACAATTAGATTAAAATATATACATAAAACACATACATATGAAGTTTACATACCACAAATTTTCAGAGGTGCCTCTAGTTCCAGGAGAATAGGCTGGCTAAGAAATATTTCCCGCGATTTTATGCACAAGCCCCGAACTTCTGCTTCGGTCATCTGAACAATCTTCCCAGGACGACATCCTCGTACTGAAATGAGATGTTTAACAATGGAAGGTAACTATCAGACAGATACACAGCAGTAGGTTAGTACAGATGAGCTGCATCTTAAATCTATATGTGACAAAAAGCCAGCAGCACATTCCAACATATCTACCAAATGTCCTAGAATTCTGTATTCCAACAAATTCTGAAATTACTCTCTGATACTGTGGTAACCTGTGCTTAAATGTCTTCATGCATTCCTGTTAAACTGGGTTCTCAGAAAATAACTTAAGCCTTGCTTTCATCCACATTTGGATAAATAGCAATTTTGAAGTGTTTAAATTAACAATCCCATTATGTTATTCACAATAGGCAAAAAAACCTTGAGAATTTAAATCCTGAAAACACCTTCTCATTAGCACAAGATAAACTTCCTCAGTAGTTCTGAGTTCATCAGGGCTAGCTACATAGAAAGAAAAAACCACAGGCATGTTTACACTTCTGACAACTGAAATCGCCATATTGGAAACATGACACTAAAAACTATGGAAGTTTGATGAAGCCTTCATTCATATATAATGGTTCTTGAGTTATTGGAACCTTTATGTCCAAACAAAGACATTCTAATTAGAATGAAACTGAATTCCTAAACCAGTAAGTCAGGTACTCAGACCTGTATTTAGCACGAAGTTTTCAAAAGCATTCACAAGTCATTGCACTCCAACCAACATCCTCTGGCAAGTTTATATGCAGCTGCTTCTTTCCACAAATATCTACGATTCCTCTGTCAGAGGCTTTAATGTGTCTTTAATGAGGCAGCAAAATAGAACAAATGTGTCTGCACTTTGGCTGATCCAGTTCAGTCTTCCATCTCAGAATAAACCAAACTTCAGAGTTCAAACTAATAAGCCAGAATGTATCAGTGTCTACAACAGGCGAACATCCTGTTCTGCCATCTGCTTTAGACTGAAGAAACATTCAGCATTAAACCACAGTAGTACCACCAAGAGAAGGTGGTACAAAACTTTAGCAGTTCAAATCCACATGCTTTCCAACTCAAACATGGTAAGATATTACTTCGAAAAATTTTAGCTGCAACTTCAGGACATCTAATAAGATAGATCTGTGAACAGAATAGCAAAAACTAGTTCATAACACAAAATAAGTTCCTGGGTTGCCTGCTACCCCTCTCCAAAACATAAGAGTAAGCTTGCAATTTTTTTTTTTTTTAATTAACAGAACTTCCTTTTTTCTTTTATTTCCACTTAGTCTCTAGAAAACTTATTTTACAGAGATCAGTATCATTATCTACACTGTGCAATGGGGGAAAAAAGGATATGAGGGGAAACAGTTTGTCCCAAGTTCACCTACTACTACAGTCCAAAGTGTTAAGATCAAAAAGCTCTGCTCTGGTTATCACTGCATACATCTCCCAGTATAACTGTACATCTGACCATTTCAAGACTGTGCTATGAATTTTTATTTTGTATTTTTAAACACCAGACACACTTGTTAAACTGAGGTCAGGAAGCAGCCACAGGAACATGAGAAAAGACAGAAATGAAGAATAGTTTTCTCAAGCAAGGAAGAGATGTGAAACTAGAGCCTGGGACAGCCAGTTTGAGTGCCAAAATAGCAGAAGGGCTAGTCTGTCTGCAGTGACAATACACTGGAAATACTTCACTCATTAGAATCCCACAGGAACAAGGCTGTGGCATACCAGGCTTCTTTCAGTGAAACTCTGAATCAGTACCAGGTGACAGTTATCATATGCTAAGTCACACTCCTTTGCTAATTAAGATTTCAACTACACTTGAGAAAGCAAACAGCTTTTTAGTAACACTTTTTTTGTTATTCTTCATGCATTAAGATGTTAGCTTACATACTAAAGGAATACAAAGGCAGACATTAGCCAATCAAGGTGATTAGAAAACAATAAATGCCTACAGGCTTCCATTTCATCACGTCTCAAACATCTATTGAGTGATGCACTTAGATACATCTTCAGCCCCATGGGGATTATTAGCAAAAAAAATTAAATCTCAGGCTTGACAGCTTTGCGCAAGACTTGACTATCCAAGTTGAGGCACCAAAATGCTCAAATAATTTCCAGCTTTTCAAAGGCTTGCATTGCAGTAGCTTGTAACAATCCCTTTCAGAGACCAGAAACTCATTTTGATAGGCAGAATAAGCTATCACTATACATAAGAAAGCTCCCACCTGACATAACTGCACACTTTTTACATCCACTATAGTTTTGGAACTCAAACCCAGGAAAGGCCACCATACACATTAATGTTACCATAAGTAGCACCAGAACAAGCACAGAGTCCAAAACTGAGACAGCAGTTCAAGGAGGGCACTCATACTTAAAATAACTTTGATCCAATCAGTATTTCTTAGAACACCAGCTTTAACTTCCTTATAAACTCACATGGAGGGTTAAACTTGGAACAATTGCTTTATGGGATTGAGGCTTTAAGTGCTGCTGGATTTTTGCACTAGAAGATAAAGTGAACATGCAGCTCCTGACTTCAAAATTAACTACCTGCCATAGTCAGTGCATCCAGTGTTCTGATGTTAGTTCTTTACTTGTTACAGTAGAGCCTTAAACACTGCAAGCCTTTAACAGACAAACCAACAAACAGGGCAGTAACTTATTACCACACTTCTGATTCTCCAGATAAGAGGTTTCTACAACTATACAAGTATGTTACACTCAGAAGAGAAGACAACACACATGATGACTGCAGTTACTTCTAGCCCTTGGGAAGGATACAAATCTGGGCCACCGCACCTTTGAAAAGGCACCCTCCACCTGAACAGGCTGCAGCTCCACAGAGCAAGCATGTAAGCTTAGTTACATTTGTAGTAGTACAAAGTCTGGGGTTTCATGAGGAATAATCATCAATAATATAGTTAAGAGAAAAGATGTTTTCTTCCACAATCCCCTGATCATCAGTAAGGGTACTACCTATTGAAAAATGAGAAGCTACTGTGACCCTGGAAGCCTCAGCACTTCACTGGATTCACAAAGGCACCAAAAGGTTCACCAAGCAGTCATCTGGGACAGCTGTGGTACAAGTACACAAGCAAGACTAAGCACATCTTTCACCAGCTTACACTACAACTAGAATTTCATTGAAGTTTACTTGACCCAGATGAGCACAGTAGGGATTGTAAACAAGAGCATCTCTCACCACATTCAATTTATCAAAAGCCAAATCCCCAACAACAGCTTTAACATGAGGCTATGAGAATAAGATCAAGAGTGTATGTGATGTTTTTCAGACTCATTTATGAATTAGTATAGCTAACCATTCTTAAAATATGCAAGTCATAGCTGCATGCATTGTAAAATCTGTAGCTCACAAAAAGCCTTTAAAAGCATTGGGAAAACCATCATTTTTAATTGTTGTCATTTACCCAGAGCAGAACCAGCATCTCAACGTTAGACATAAATTAATTCTCTTTAATTTAAGATGCAGATGCTGTAAACAAGCTTTGATTTACATAAAAGCCTTCAGTAGGGGCAGCAATTCCTGTTGTAATACACAATCCCACATGTGTAGTGCTATGCTAGGACAAGCCTTTACTACAAGGAGCTTAAAGCAGAATGACATAGCAGGGAATACGGAGAATTAAAAGCAACTATATGCATTGTACTGCCAGGCTATTATTTTAGCACAATAGATCCTATAGTAATCCAAAAGCCACTCTAATCAATATTAAAATGGTCTCTGCACCTACACAACCTTTGATAAGCAACCTTAGCAAGTCTACTAACTGCAATTAGTAAACCAAGACATGAGCTGCACTGTAGCAGGAAAGAAAAACTTCAGCAAAAATAGCAATTATTTTTTTAATTCCTCTAAATTCATGCCAGAGAGTAGCAGATTATGCAAGGAAATAGTGGAAAAAAGAAGATAAATAACACTAAGGAAAATGGGTCAAGAACTGGCTGTTCGAAGTTCTATGAGAATCACTTTTTGCCATATTCTTTCATGAACTGGAGAAAATATATTTAACCTATTCTGTCACACTGTTTCTGGTGTGCCCTGCACTGTAAGTACCCAAGACGCTCATTCTGTGGCATCACTAATGGACATTTCTCCAATTACTAAATCAGCTGTGGTATGCACAGCTGTCCTAAGCATTTATACTGTGTTCTCCAATATCCCATGTGTCCTGCTCACCGGACAAACCCAGACAGACTTCTAACTCTCATAAGAAATTGGGCCAGCATTATTGCTAAGAAGCAGCCTCCTTTCCCTACACTTTGCTTTTTTTGCAGGCATATGCATTTATGTGGCCACACAATAAACTGCATCAGTGAACTGATCTTTTCTTTCTAGTACCAAGACACGACAAGACAAAAATGTGGTCTAGATAGTTCCTCAAGATGGAGAATATATCCACTGTGAGCTTGGGCTAGGACTAGTGAAGGAATAAGCAGCTGGTTCTGCTTATTTTCACAGTAGCTTCAGCCAAGCTTATTTCTGAAATTATGGCTTTAAAGATTTATTTTGCCAGAGTATGTCTAAAAACACCCCCAAACTACAACACAGACTGCAAGCATACAATTTTACAAATTGCACACAAGCAATTCCCACAAGCTTACACTCTCCCACCCCCCCATTCTGTGGAATGTTTAATGATTGGTGATTAACAACTATACCATTTAACTATTTATTTTCTGTACTTCAAAGCGCTTTGAAGTATATGATGAATCCTGAACAGAATATTAACAGTAGGAGCAGAATGGGCTTAGAAGCCAAAGGTGGCATTACATAGGACATGGAAAAAAACAAACAGTGCTTACATTGATTTTGGAAGCATATTCTTAAGTTATCTGCTTTCAGCATTTTTAAAATCCAAGTTATATATTTTCATGGTTTTAAATCAGGATTCCTACATTGGATTTTAAAAGTGTCTTTCATTTTGGAAAGCAAAACTTCTACTCCCTAAAAATATTTTCCGTTATTTAACTTGTTCAGCTGTCATTCAGAAGCAGCCACTCCCTATCTTGCAGCAAAACACAGAGT